TTTTCTAGAATGATTCAAAAACACAGAGATGAATTACATGTGCCATTTTTGGTGTCTACCATCCTACAAAATTTGAAACTGACAGCTTGAAAACTGGTTGTCTCTCGTGCAGGTGGCGAATCTTTGTTGATGGCGCTCCGCAGTGCGTCGACGTGAACAGTCTGTTTGAACTCGGGCCAAACCTTCTTTACACACAGAAGAGGTGAATGCTAACAGTTGGTGCACATTGTGAATGAAATGTGGTCTGAACCAGCTGGCTTGAGCTGTGTTTGTCCCTCTGTCCTCAGTCCGGCTACTAACCTGTACTATCTGAACGGCTTCACCACCCGAGTCGAGTCCTGGAAGAGTTTTTCAGAGCTGGAGATGATTTTCACCTACAGCGCACAACAGAATGGCATCGCCAGTAAGAAACAACGCAGCACATCTCATTCATCTTTGTGTTTTTGAACCTTTCTAGCTACAGGACATCGCTGCAAAGTTTTTATTTCCCCTTGTGGTTATTCTGGGTCTTTATTCTTGTATTTACTTTATCGTTCTTTCATCATTTGTATTTATGTTTTAGTAGTTTTGTGTCTTTTTGATTATTTTGTGCTTTGTTGTAGGTTTCTGTGTTTTGTGAGCATCTGTAATTGTTTTTTTTTTAGCGTTGTATCTCTTGTAGTGTGTTTGTGGGTAGTTCTTTGAGCCCGATCGCCTCTTTGGCTCTTGGCGAAGGCGGTCGTACTTTTCTCCTCTCCTCCTCTCCCTTATCTTCCCTGCTTAGTTCTTATGTCCTTGTCTTGTCTCGTGTGTATTACTTTCCCTGGAACACTCTCTCACAGTCTGTTTCTAAAACCTAAAAGAGAATTATGGATTTGATGAATTGGTCTCTGAACGCTATTGACACCCTTTTCTCAACGAGAAGTCTGGGCTCGGGTGAGCCCGAGTGCCCTGGAGGGACTTTCCCTGCCAGATACACGATGGACGGGTGGCAGAGGATCGTGTGCCTGGCGGGACTGTGGATCGAGGACGCTGAAGATATCTACCTATTCAGAACCATGATAACAGGGTTCTTGCTGATCGGAGCTGGCTTGGCCCTGACTTATCGGAGAATTAAGAAAGCGGAACCGGCTGTTCAAACCCCCCAAGGCTGCCCGCTGGGATTGAAACGATGGGACGAGGTGCGGCTTCTCAACATGGGCTCACTGAGTGCAGCATGGTTAAGAGCTTGGAGAAGCTTACGGCTGCTGTGAACACTCAGAATAAGACCTCTGAGCGTACATTGGATCACATCTTGGAGCAGCTCACTGTGATCGTGAGTTCTCAGAATCGGCTCTTTGAGCACAAGACTGACAACATCACGGAGCACAAGTTTGATAACATCATGGAGAAGCTCGCGGCTCTCCAACGGGAGATTGAGAGACCAGTGTTGGACTGTTAGAACTGCTTTGAAATTCTCATGAGCTGTTCGCACTAAAGTAAAAACCACCATCATAATGCGGCTATCCCTTCGGCACCAGCTGTGGGCTCAAGGCTGGAGCTGAACAACAACTCCCTGATAACGACTGTTTAGTCTGTTCTTCCCATTCCATGCAAGCCCACCTGGGTTGGCTGGAAGACTGTTTACTTAGCCTGGCAGGGCGAAGGACACTGTCTCAGCTGAACTCTGGACACGCACACACACATACACTGATAAGCACTCATCCCTCCTCCCTTTCCAAACGCCTTCGATGTTTGTTCCCTCCTGGAGGACACGGCGGGTCTGGGCAGGATGGCTGTGTGCGCCCCGGCTTACACCCCCTACCCGACCCTGTTGCTGGTCACGTGCTCTATATTGTTGTGCTGTGGACATTTTGTGCTTTCTGTGCAGAGGAGTTTTTTTTGTTTCCTGTTCTCACGCTGTCCTCCCAGGAGCCCAGCATGAGTAGAGGTCTCTTTTTTCCTCCTTGACTTTCCCATTGTAGTTATATTTCAGTGTTTTTCCGTAATGCTACCGTGTCCGACCTGTCTCCCCATGTGATGTCTGTGTTGTGTGTTAAGAGGTCGGGGGGGGGCAACTTGCATGTGACAAATAAAGGCTTCTTGCTTCCTGACTCGGCGATCGGGCGCCGTGACAAAGAATAATGAGACGGTTGATTCTGTCTCTCAGGGTTCGTTAAGGCTCATTGGATGGAGGATTGGTATTTTGGCTACCAGTGTCTGAACGGCAGCAACCCTCTCATGCTCCGTGAGACCCGCCACCTCCCTCCAAACCTGTCTGTCACCTCTGACATGCTCCGCCCCTTCCTGCCTGAAGGCTCCTCCCTCGAAAAAGAGCTACAGGTGTGTGCTGTTGTGACTTTCAGCTGTGCGTTATTTGCAGCTGCCCTTTTTAATCAGTGTGTTTGTTCGCTGTGACAGAAAGGCAACATTTACCTGTTGGACTACGAGGTTCTAGACGGTGTTCCAGCCAACGTGATCAATGAAAAGCAGACGTATCTGTCCGCCCCGCTGTGCCTTCTCCACCTGAACCAGCAGGGGCAGCTGCTCCCCATCGCCATCCAGGTTTGCTTGTTATGTAGAAACCTGACTGTGACGATTGTCTTCAGTTGGAATCCTGTTGTCTAAGTTCAGCCCATTCACCCTGGGAATGTGGTCCCATCCTTCAGCTGCAGCAGAAACCTGGCCCTCAGAACCCGGTCTTCCTGCCCTCTGACTCTGGCTACGATTGGCTGTTGGCTAAGATGTGGGTTCACAGTGCAGACTTCCAGTGCCACCAGCTGATCTCACATTACCTGCGGACTCACATGATGGCAGAGCTGTGCTGCGTGGCCACGCTGCGGCAGCTCCCAGATGCACATCCACTGCACCAGGTAAACCCCGCTGACCTGCAGCTCGCTCGACTTCACCCACAGGAGATCAGAGAACAGAATTGTTGTATCCAATCATTTCTGCTTTTAAATGGCTTGAGCTGTCTTTTCTCTCATTTCTTTTATGGACAGCTGCTACTGCCGCACGTCAAGACATCTTTAAAGATAAACTTCGGGGCCAGAGCGTCACTGCTGGCCTCCAAAGGACTGTTTGATCAGGTAAAATGCAGGAAGTAACAGGAACCACAAAGAGGAGAACAAACAAGCAAAGTAAGATCTGTTGTGTTCCCTGGTCTCGTCCTTCCAGGCTGTCGGTTCTGGTCTGGCGACATTACCCCTTCTCCTCTCCAGGGGATCGGCCAGGATTTCCTATCGAACCCTGTGCGTCCCCGAAGACTTGAGCGACCGCGGTTTGGACAAACTGCCGCAGAGCTTCTACGCCCAGGACGCTCTGAGGATCTGGGACACAGTGCACAGGTAAACGAGCACACCTGAGAAACACGAACACTCGTGCAAATGTTTTATCCGATGGTAACAGGAGATCCTCTGTGATCTGTGTGTGTTGCAGGTTTGTAACCAGCTGGGTGGAACTGTATTACCACGGAGACGACGCGGTGCAGCGTGACCCCGAGCTCCATGGTTGGCTCACAGACATCAACGCTCACGGCTTCAGTAATGGTGCGTTTTAGCAGTTTCTCCAAATCACTTTGCACCGTTTCAAACGATTCTGTCAGCAAACTGTGTTTACACGTTAAGTTAGTTCACGATAATATAATAATGATAATGACTGCTAGTTGTTCTTAGAGAGAGCTGAGTCTCCTTTCATGCTGCAGTGGAACTGCAAGCGTAAAGTGGAGATGGCTGTAGGTATAGAGGTGTAGGTGGGGGGTGGAGCTCCTGATGGAGAGCTGCACGCACTGGCAGAGCTTCAGTCGGTGGATGTAAGAGTAACAGGTCAGCTCACAGCATCTCGGGGCTCTGCAGAGACGAGCAGAGGGACCCGACGTCAAACTGTGTCGACCTTTGGATCTGTGCGGAGGAGGATCTGAAAAGTTGCACCAATATAAAATGATACTGAGCAGATGTGTGTTTGACACTGTATGGTATTAAATATTGATAGTTTGATGTAATGATATAATATTAAAAGCAAAACTTTTGGATTTTAGTGGTTAAATAATTAGAGATAAATATGTATGTTATTATATAAAGCTGACCACAGGATAGTTTTCCATGTTCGTGTGTTTTTATGTTCATTAACATTTGTTATTTATGTGCTTGGAACACTGAGCAGCTCTTTTTGACTCCGCCCTCGCCCAGTGCACACACATGTGCACGCATGCATTCACCTGAACATTGTGACTATGATGCCTCTGCACAGGTTTCCCTCAGCGCTTTCACACCAGAGCAGAAGTGGCCAAGTTTGTCACCGCGCTCATCTACTCCTGCTCTGCTCTGCACGCTGCTGTCAACTTCTCCCAGGTGAGTCGGCCACTGCGAGAGACGGGAAAAGCTCGCGGCTTCCTGCTGAGGATGTCCCGCCGCCTCACGTTTGTCTCCTCTCTCTTGCTGTCCTCCAGCTGGACTTTGCCTTCTGGGTGCCAAACTGTCCGGTCGCCATGTTGCGCCCTCCTCCGCAGGTCAAAGGCGCCGTCACAGAAGATGACATCATGTCCTTCCTGCCAGATGTGAACACGACGTGCCGCGTCCTGATGGCGCTGAATGGGCTGTCGCAGCCAGCCATCGACTTTGTGAGGCTCCGCCCACTCCTCATAAAACATTTACACTCACTTCTTCCTCAACTCCTCCTCTTCAAAATCTTTGTCATCTTCTTTTTCATCATTTACATTTTTTCTTCTTGATAAGCTTTTTCTTTTGTCTTCCTCCTCCTCCTCGGACACCACAGCCAATCACTGCCTCCATCTCCTCCTATCCCACCATCCTCCTGTCACTCCGACCCTCTGCACCTCCTCTGAGGTTCTCTTTCTGATCATTTTCATTTCAAATCATTGTAATGCGTCTCGTTATTTGTCACGTTTTTGAAGATTAAATCTGTGTGTCTCCCCCTGCAGGTTCCTCTCTGTCACTACAAGGAGGCTATTTTCAGGGAGGACGCTCACCGCAGGCTGTTGGAGGAGGTGCAGGCACAGCTCCGGGACATCTCTGACGCCATCGCAGAGCGTAACAGCCAGCTGGAGCTGCCGTATCCGTACCTGAGCCCCGAGCGCATCGAGAACAGCGTGGCCATTTAGTAACTGTCATCGTCCTCACCTGCGATCATCATTTCCAACAGGAAAAAAACCTCTCCATGCACCTAATTATCGATAATCGTTCCTGTTTTTTAAATCTGATCATGTGACGGACTAATCGTTTCTGCTGGGATACTTCTCTTCAAACCGCAACATTTTTCACGTACTAACTTTTTTCTTTTCTTCGAGGTGACTGTAACGCGCCTTAAACTCAGATGTTCTCCGACTCTGGTGAAGGACTCATGATGAAATTAATGGCTTGCTTTGTGAGCTCACCAAATTACTTTGTTTGGCGTCAATGAAGTGACTTGGTGTGAGCTCACACTGTGTTACATGAGTACACGAGTTTAAATATTAGAGTAAGTCTCTATTCTAATGTCTAAGGAGCTTGGAAAGAAATCATCTTGACCTTAAGAAGACGTTTCACCTCTCATCCGAGAAGCTTCTTCAGTTCTAAGGTCAAATGGTGGAGAGTCCCAGATTTAAGCTCAGTGGGAGTTTCCCCCCACAGAGGGACAAAAGGACCCCCTGATGATCCTCTAATCGCCTGAGCCAAGGTGTGAAACTGGGTGTGGGTCCCAATCAGCCAGAGTTTCAGGTGAGTTCATTGTGAAACCTGGCCCCACCTTATCATGCGAATTCCTGAGGTCAGATGGCCCAGGATGTGAGTGGGCGTTAAGGCGTCTGGGAAGGATCTCAAAACTGGATTATAGATGGCAGAGAGTTGGTGTCGTAAACCCGCCTCTGTTCAAAGATGGTCGCTCACAGTGGACATAGATGGCTTCTTTCACTCCTCTTTCAAACCATCTGTCCTCTCTGTCCAAAATGTGAACATTGGCATCCTCAAAGAGTGACCTTTGACCTTTAGATGCAGATGGACAGAATCACTGCAGTCTTGCCCCTCCCTGGAGCCTGGTTCTGCTGGAGGTTTCTTCCTGTTAAAAGGGAGTTTTTCCTTCCCACTGTCGCCAAAGTGCTTGCTCATAGGGGGTCATATGATTGTTGGGTTTTTATCTCTATGCATTACTGTACGATCTACTGTACAATATAAAGCTCCTTGAGGCGACTGTTGTTGTGATTTGGCGCTGTGTAAATAAAATTGAATTGAATGGAACCCTGAGTCTTGCCTCGTGGAGGTGGCTCTTCCATGTTGTGCCATTTGTTTATGAAGTCTCTCCAATGTAAAGGTCGGAGCATTCCTTGGTGCTCTCTGCTGCATGCACTACGTTGTTAAGTTTGTGTTTAGGACAATCTTGTCGGAGGAAACATCCAGACGCTTTTCTTTCCAAGCTCCTGAGACTACGATGACCTTCACAGGCATCTTTGGCAGCTGGAAATGAAGCTAGTCAGAAACAGAGGAGGCGCTGTCAGCTGTACTCCTTCTCATGCGCATGGCTGAATATTCGACCAATAACATCAGGCTTTGTGCATTGACTGCCTCGGTGCCTGTTTTTTGTCACAGTTAGATTTGTGGATACTCTGAGTTTATTTCTCCTTCAAGTACCAACACAAACTCAAAGAAAGCTTTGAGTAAAAGTCCTGCTCTCAGAATTATGTCCAGAACTACGAGCATAAGAAAGAACTGAAGGTAACAATCTTTATGTAAAATGAGCCCTTTAAGGATTTTACATGCAGCCTGTTTTATTCTCAGGGGGTTTATATGATGAAAGCCAATCAAAATAGAAGCTAATAACACATCATATACAATAGGGCTGCCACAAACTATTATTTTGATAGTCGACTAGTCAGCGATTATTTTTGCGATTAGTCACTAATCAGATCATCATCCATACAGCTTATTGCACCAGCAGCATCTGCTCTTATATAACTATCATTAGCTTACAGCTTTAAGTGTTTAAGGTGCTAACTAAAAATAAAGACAAGATGATAGTTTATTAAATTTTAATGAAATTTGCAGATTGTTTCGGTGAAGTTTAATAAACTCCTTGCTATCTAAAATATAACAGGACACCGGAGTATATTCTCGAGCATCTCACACTTCTGATAATCAGTTGTCTGCTTGACGTTTATTCAGCTGTGTAAAAACTATAACTTTAATCTCAGCCAAACCGATTTACTCAGGAACAAATAAAATACTAAAAAAGCCAAACAATAACATTTTAAGTTATCTAAGTGACTTATATATCATGTTTAACCTGAGTAGCGAAAGACGGCGGTGGGTTTGAAAACGATTTGCCGGGAGTCCGGTGTTCTCACGGCGCTAGTGACCTAGCCCCCGGCTAGCTATCGAGCTAGTGGGTAACAGACGTCTCCGAAAACGTCGGAGCGCTTTTGAAAATATGTGGTGTCCTGATAAACTGAGCAGATATTTGAGGTTTACACAGCTACATTCTCGCCTGAAAATATGTTAAACGTTTATTTTGTGACCCAGAAAGAATAATAAGAGTAATATTAAAACTAACTAGCTGCCGCCATTGTTGGAAACTGAGCTGGGCCGCGCTATGAATTCTGGGACACAGCTGCTTCTTCTTCTTCGGGGTTTAACGGCAGCTGGCATCCTTGTACATGCAGTGCTGCCATCTTCTGTTTCAGTCCGTTATTACACTCTTAAATCCTGCTACTTATTCCTGCGTCTTTTTGGGATCTTACAAAGCTTCAAACGACGCGTCGACTATTAAATCAGTCATCGACGATTTTGATAGTCGAGACTAGTTGACTAATCGTGGCAGCCCTAATATACATGCTGTTACAGGTCATGACGTCGGGCTTCACACTGCTCTAAAAGTCAGGTTTCACTTTTTTCACTGTCAGCTCTGTATGATGTCACAAAGAGCGGCGCTCCACTGAGGCTCTGTACAAATAAGGATTACTTTGAACTATGAGTCATGAAACTCTACTCTCGTCCAATCAGAGAATAAAGGCGTGGACTTTAAGGATCCACGTCCTGTTTTTGTAATCGATCTTCTGAAAACCAAAACCATCCACAGACCTGATGTTTCACTCATGTATTAAACACACTGTTCAAACTTTGCTGATGCTTTTCCACTTTTGTCTATCTTTACCCCGTGTATCTGTGTGTGTGGTGGTGGTCAGTACTGAGTGTCCCTGCAGGACGTCCACTGGTCTAAAGTCTTACTGCACGTAAAGGGAAGGCTTTTGTTTTAGTTAGTCTGTCGTCCATCACTGGAAGTCACAAGCTTTGCAGATTCTGGTGAATTCGATGGAAACTATCACACAGAACACGAAGCAGCAACAACTACTAAGAAACAGCTTTTATCTCTTTTTGTTTGCATTATTTTCCTGTTTCAAACAGGCAAACGTGTGGTGTGAAGTGACATTAGTGTAACAGCCAATCATCACAATGATGTCCTAACTGAATACAAATAGATAAAATTGTCAAACTTGGAACCAGAAGGGAAACAGAAGGAACACATGTAAAGAAACATGTGGTTATCCCAACGGGGCTTTCATCAAATCAGCAAAGATGCACAGAAAACAAGATCAAACACCAACGAAGGAGGATCAGAAACAAACTGAACAATACTGTCAACCCCTAAACCAGGGCTGTCAAACTCAAACACACAGTGGGCCAAAATTCAAAACTGGAACAAAGTCGCGGGCTAACGTTAATATTTATTGAAACAAAATCTTCCTCCAGATATGAGAATGAATCTTTTCTTATGGACAGGTTTTGCTGGAAAACTGAATATGGAACAAGCAAAGCTTAATACTAAACAATACATATATTAGCTGTATAATAGCAGTAGGCCAGCTCTGATAGTCATTTGGTGTGGCTTCGCGGGCCAAATGTAATTAGGCTGCGGGCCAAATTTGGCCCGCGGGCCAGAGTTTGACACCTATGCCCTAAACCATCTGCATCTCTTTGAGGATGCCAATGTCCACATGTTGGACAGAGA